CTCCTCCATCGTCATCTGAAAAAAGATTTGCCCACATTACCGGGAAAGTGTTTGGTCTTGTTGGTTGCCCATCATCATCAAGTTCATCTAAAAGTGCATCACTAGGATCATCTAACCACTCCAAAATACCTTCATCTTCCTCAAAAACAGTGGTTAAGTCTATAGGTTTGAATTCATACCCTTTTTTGTCCTTCATAAGGTATTTTAACTTCAACCTCATGTTATATTATGTAAACACCAGTCTTTCTAACTTTTGATAATTGAGTTGATTCCACACTTTAGTATGAATGAGAGCAAATGTGCTCCAGTTTCTCTCACAACCACTAGATGAGGCTGTTTGCGACAATATTCTCATAACAATCTTTCTCAAATTTGGAGCATCAGTATCATACATAAACCATCATTCAACTGCATAATAATAAGAAACATATTAAAACCTTAAAGAAAAATATAAATAGAAAATCAAGAGAACAAAATATAAGTGTGCAAATAATCTACTTAATTACTTGGATCACTTCTAATTGTCGCTTGGTCAGCAAAACAATACATGGCCTCCAGAAATATTTTTACCTAAATTTTATGGATATGTTGATGTTATATATTAATTTAGCACATTTGTAAACTGAGATTGAAATATTAAAGCATTACCTCTGCAAGTGCTTCAGCAGCCTTGTTTGGATTTGTCTCTAATCTAGACACAACGATCCGAAACGAATCCAACAAACTTTCAAACACACTAACAATTTTTTCATAATGGTATGTAGGGTTCAAGTAATAAGCTACACAATATAAATAATAATAACACTTATAAATGATAACATCCAAAATGATAACACTTATCCATAATAAAAATATAAATTGGTAAACAATAAGTTTACCTATCATATGAATATGTTGAATGATTTATTTTTTTCATCAAGCATCAATGATGTCAAGATATTTTTTGCACGATTTAGGAGCCGAGTATTTGATAGCTTGTCTTGCTCGTTTCATTGCTTCATATACATATGACATTGTTGCTTTTCTTTCCTCACCCACCATTCTGAGAACTTTTGCAATAGATGTATGCATATTCAACACATTTTTTGCGGTCTCCCAAAACTTAGGATTTAGAATTGTCCCTTTAACTCGCTTTCCAACTAGATCCTTTGCTGCCACAGTCCTAAACCAATCTTCTGAAGTAAACATTCTTTGCAAGCCATTTTTCTGTTCCAAAATACTTTGTAGGGTAATATAATTAGTGACAAATCTTGTTTGCCCTAGTCGAATCAATTCCCCAGAACAAAATGTTCTCATTATATCCAAGACTCTATTATGATTATAGATAGAATTGGTCACTCTTTTAGCTTGCTCTAGCACATTTTGAACTGTTTCAATCTTAGAAAAATCATGTAAATCAAATATAGAGAGTGGGCAGCACAAGGAGTCCAATATAAGTGTGGTCTTCTTTCCATAAACATTTCACTAGCTTTTTTGTATGCACTGTCATTGTCTGTAATAATCTGAACCACATATTTTTCTCCAATCTCCTCAACATCAACATCCATCAACCCCAAAATATAGTTAGCATCCTTATCATGACCAGAACTATCAATAGACTTGTGAAAAACAACTTTTTCATCACAATATATTAAGAAGTTAATGATAGATAATCTTGTGGTGGATGTCCATTCATCACACATGATTGTCACTCTATAAATCTTCCACTTCTTTTTGAACTGATCAATGTACTCTTTAAGCTCATCTATCTTATTATCTAGTAATGGTCCGCCAATCTCATATGGGGTTGGCCCTTTCACACTCACTCCAACTAAAACAATTTCATCAATCATCAATTGGTAAAAATGACCTTGAGCTTTGCTTGGTGGAATTTCATAAATGAAAAACTTTGCCATAGCATGTGTTTGCCGACTTTGCCCAGTTTTTGGGATTCCACATATAATTTAGCTTGACTTGCTTCACTTCTCTATTCCGATATATTGAAAGATCTATCTCTTCTATCGGGAGATCTTTTTCTTTGTCCATCAATTTTTGTGATTTTTTTAAGAATTTATTCCAAGATTCCTTCACACTATGTGACCGCATCAAACCCCTAGATATACCACATTGTTGGATAGATGGTCTAGAATTTCTTCCTCTAAAGCCTTGCTCGGTCATATGTATAGCGCGAATAGATTGTTGTTTTGCATACTCAATATCAGCTCTATATTTTATATTCATATCATCATTTGAATTCTCATCGGAAGAATAAATTTCGATACCACTCCTCCGCCTTGATCCACCAATTAAATTATGTCTCATTTTTCTCTATTCATCAGTCACTTCTGCATTTTCAGTCTTGTTGCGATTCAAGTAATCCCTCATAGCTCTCGCAATTTCAAGAGGACACTTATCACATTGTTCCACATTATTATAACCACCTGCCAAGTGTTGCTTTAACCGTGACACATCGCCACTCATCATTTTTTTATAGCAAAAATTGCACATTACATGTTGTCGATTATCCCTAATTCGTTCACCGTATTTCCATCCAATATCACGTTCTTTTTTCTTTTTCTAGGATGATTCAGTAACTGCATTCTTCCCCTTTGATGTCATATCTACAATAAATGTCATTACATTATCAAACACATTAAATTCATTCTACAAATTAAATATGACATGTATAACACTTTTAAATTAAAATATTATCCAATTAATAATACTATTTTATTATAATACTAATAATGAAAGGTATAAAATTAAATTAATGGTACTTATGTATACTTAAAAATTAAATATAATTGCAGTGGGTATTAAATATAATTATTCATGCTTATAAAAAAAAATAGAAGACCTGCACAGCAGTGGAAAATTAAATGTACCAACAGTAGGGTATTAAATATAATTACAACGGGTATTAAATATAATTATAATAGGTATTAAATGTAATTATTAATTATTATAACAAAAAAATTATAACAGGCATAAGAACAGTGGAGGATTAAATGTAATTATAGTAGGGTGTTAAATATAATTATAGTAGGTATTAAATATAATTGATATGAGTATTAAATATAATTATAGTGGGGTATTAAATATAATTATTCATAGTTATAACAAAAAAAAATAAAAATAAAAGCAGAAGACCTGCATAGCTTAACCACACGAAAGAGCAGACAGACAGAGAGAATGGCGAGAGGCGACAGCGGAGGCATAGGTGATTGCGATCGCGATGCAGTCGCCGGAGAGAGAGAGAGAGAGAGAGAGAGAGAGAGAGAAGAAGAAGAAGAAGAAGAAGAAGAAGAAGAAGATAAGAACATACCTGTGGACTAGTGGTTGCTCACGGTTGTAGCGATAAAGACAGGACAACTCCAAGCCCTAGATCTGCGTGGCTAATGGCTGGATCTACTCAAATCTAGAGTCAAGGAGGTAAGTTACAGAAGCTCTTCTTCAATTTCTGGTTCGTCTGGTGCCTTTCTCTCATTCTTCTCTGTTTTTTTTGTTTTGATTAGGGCTGTGATTGATTTCTGAGATATACATGTGATTTATGAGAAAGAATCTTTCTGACTGAACTTCTCTCTTTTTTCTTTTGGCCTAAAGTGAACCGAATATATCACTGTTTCGACCAAAACGGTCCGAAACAGTGTCGTTTCGACCAAAACACTGAAATTTTGTTTTTCAACCACGGTTTTGTGTCGTAGTGTTGAAATTCCAAAACGTTTCGGACGTGTTGACACGAAATTTAGATCCTTGCTCCCAGAGTATATTCTCTTGATTACTTATTCATCAATAAAATACCTCCGGCCACTGATGTTATTTCCCAAGAGTGGAGTAGGTTACACGGACCAAACCACTATAAATCTGCGTGTTTACTCTTATTTACCATTTTACCATTAATTGTCTATATTATTAATCATTAATTGCACCCTTACATATACTCGACTGTTAATTTTGCACAATATCAATTTGTGCATCATCAGTAACGATTTAGTATCACCAAACCGATTGATTAAATATTGGATAAATTACATCCAGACTCCCATAAAATTTGTCATTAAATTACACAAACCTTTTAAGGTATGAATGACAAACAACATTAGCATCCTATATAAAAAATGGTTGACTCATGAATCTTACGGAAACTATAAAATAGCTATTTTATCCTTCGACGAAAACTAAGGAAAAATAGCTCAACCCAATTGAACTGAACCAAACTTAAACACAAAATTCAAGCCCCAAAGTATCTTCATCGAATCTTTCTATCTCTGCCACCACCCCTGTCTCTCCTCTGCTTGCAACAATCATCATTTATCTTCACAAGTCTCATTCCTCTCTGTTAGAACGAGAATAAAAGCGAAGCCTAATATGATATATTGTGTTTTAATTGTAGAAAAAAATGAAATTTTTACAATGATCGCAAATTCCAATGATATCATTTGAGAATACAATTATTGTGCCCAAAACATTAAAGGTAAACCTTAGAGGATAACAATATTTATGGTAAATCTTATTTTGTTCCTTAAAAGATACAAAAATTCTCAGTTTATTTTTAGAACGATTAATATTTTCATATATGTTGTCTCCTCATAGAAATAAAAATGTTGTAATGTGGTCTATTTTTTTATTTTTATTTATTTTTTAGTCTCTTTTGTGGTTCTTGATTGGTTAATTTGATATAGACGAACTATCAAACAGAAATAGGACGGTAGATCATATTATAACATTTTTATTTCTTTCACTGGGCAATATCAAAAAATTAATCATTCGGGAGATAAATTAAAAAATTTATATCTTTCCAGGATTAAAATGAGATTTTTCCCAATATTTATTTGCAAATCGGAGAGATCCAAACAAATCTTAGATGGCGTAGGTGTAATTTACCGTTTAATATTTTCTCCTCCACCCGGAGCGGAGTTTCTAGTACCTACTCCCCACCATTTGAACCGTCAATACATAAAGCGCGGGACAAAATCACAACAAAGCAAGCTCGTTACTGTTTGTCTCTGTTTGGAACGAAAATGGAGTCCCAAATCGCAAGCAGTCACTCCTCCGACTTCGTCACAATCGGGGACTACGTACTGAGTTCCAAACTCGGAGGCGGCCCGCTATCAACAGTATGGAAGGCCAAGCACAAAACAAGCGGCGAAATGGCGGCACTGAAGCAGATACAACTCTCGAAACTCACCCGGAACCTCAAGAACAGCTTGGACTGCGAGCTCAATTTTCTGTCCTCTGTTAATCATCCCAACATCATTCGCCTTCTTGATTTTTTCAAGGTTCGTTTGTTTTTCCTTGTATAATTGCTTAGCCGGTAGATTAATCTAGGTTTTTAGGGTTACCCATATGGTAATATGTTCAGTTGAATCTGAATTGTATTCTAAGGTGATCTACAATGCAAATTCGTTTGATTGTTTGCTTTCCTAGTTCGTTTTTATATTTAATTGCTCTCTCTCTGCATATCCGTTGGCAATTGTACAATAAACTGTAGGTTGGAAACTACTGATGTAAATGTTTGGGTTGTGGTTTAAGTTCTCATACCTAACTGCATACTTTGTCATAATGTCATAACCGGGTGTCTCTAATTCCCCCCTCCTCTTCCCTTCTTTTTTAGCACACACACCTCTTTTGTCCACGGAACTAAAGCTGGATGGTTTCGGATGGAAGCTAGTTTGAGTGAAAATATTTCCATTTAATTGTTTGCTCATCTCCTATATTTATGTGTCTCGGATGCTGCCTACATACTCTTTATCTGTGCATCAAGAAAAAAAGAAATTAGCTCAAATGATTGAATTGTTGCCCTTGTAAAGCTGTACGTTAAAAACACCCATTTCAACTTGGGGATTGATAAAGAATTAATTTTTGGGAGGATTGATGGTGTAGAGAGAATTCTATTTGAAGAGTTCTTCCCTCACTCGTATGACCTTGCTAAATAAAAAGTGGCTTCCATTAGTGGCCTTACTATTTATTCAGACGTTTGCTTATTCGTCAAACTACTTTTTGAGTAACTTGTTGGACCATCAAATAATATACTTTTAAATTGCAAAATTTGTCATCCAGAAGCACTTTAGATCAATTTCTACTTATAGCATGTTGAAACAAGGATTTGGCTAAAATATGCTACTCAAACTACAATTAAGTTTTGTGCAACCAGTTTCCTTCGATTGACCCTCCTAAAAAAGAAGCCATTGTTTTTTTTCATCAGGCTAAAGGTTGCGTATTTCTAGTGTTGGAGTTTTGTGCTGGAGGCAATCTAGCTTCTTACATTCAGCTCCATGGCAGAGTTCAAGAGTGGATAGCTAAAAGATTCATGCGGCAGCTTGGTAAATTTTCATTCACAGTCTAGGTTGTATCGAGGCTGTCTTTTCCTACTAGTGGGTCCTCATTTGAAACATATCCAATTGGTGTCTNGGCCCAATAACTAGTGAAAATATGTCTCGCCGATTACCCTCAACTTGTGTTTCTTTGTATTACTCAGCAAGAGATAAAAGTGGATGAAAGTATCCTCTTCTGTTTAGATATGATATGGCTGGGCTAAGATAGCTTGGGTAGTGATGTGGGAGGAGATGAGTACCGAGATTCAATTTAAAATGACAAACAAGCACGGGTCCTGAATCAATAGTGAACACGGGGCCTGAATATGCTTTCCATTTTTGACAAAATATCAAGATGAATGAGAGCAAAGCTTAGAGAGTTTGTAATCAATGAGTTGTAATCCCAATAACCAATGAGGGGATGAGGTATCCTTATGACTAGGCTAGAATGAGATGTCTAGTTGAAAGGCCCAATAACTGTATCCCGAAGATAACTATAAGATGTTGTCAGCGAGAGTGAAGTCTGACAACCATAATTAAATTGTAATTGACTCTGAAGAGGATGATATCTGAGTCTCGATGGAGACAATCATAGCCAGATCCAAAGAAGAACGAACATAACATAGTCCTGAAGAGTACAATCATTGAACTCATAATCGGGTCGTGAGAAGGACAATCATAGCCTAGTCTTGAAGAAGACGGTCATGGGGTGTCACTCGAGGCAGATTTTGCCTTTGAAGAAGGGCCGACTATGGGACCTTCTCGGGTTCTTAAAGAAAAACAGAAGAAACTTGGCCCTTAAGGGTAGATCAAATGAAACTGGTCCCTCAAGACGGACTGAATGCACTGGATCCCTAAGGCCGATCAATCTTGGCTCTTGAAGAAGGCCTAAATGCCGAAGGTCCGACATATATGTCACTTGGCCTCTATTTTTTGATTAATTGAGCTTAGAGTCTTGCATTTTATAGACATGGCTAGATAAACTTTAATGGGAACGATTAAATAAAAGTGTAGCTTACTGATTTGAGTCCTAAATTCATTGAAACCATAGTTAGATACATCAAGCTCCATCTGTGAAATTTTCTGGCTTGAATTTCGATATCTGACCTTTGAACATTGATGCTTGACCAGTCCTCGGTGCACTAGTCAGATTGTTGTTGAGTAGAGAGTGGGACATGTGGTTGTGTGCCAGAAGAATAGTGTCAACAGTGCTGACCATCATGGGGTATGGACTGGACTGGTTAGCTCTGTGTTGCTGTAGATCTCTTTGGCTCATGGGGTACTGTGAGATTCTGATGAATGCCATAGGTGATGATTTAGCATAAGATATCGTATCAAAGTGCCTTTCATTCTCCCTGCAACCTTTAGTAAGGAGAGAATTTTCTGGGTCATTGCGCATTCTCGACATATGTGAATATGAAGACAAGGAAAAAAGTTTAAGATAGGTTGATTGGCATGGAATCATTTTTTCGCTGGATTGAGTCGTCGTCAGCCTAGATGTTTGTGGAGGTTTGATATCAATAAAGTGGACCTTTGATAAGTACATGGATGTGCCAACTGTCAACCATCTTTGGGTGAATGGTAAGGTTGGGAAACACTGTTGTTTTTGGGCTCCTGCTATTCACTATTGTATTCAGGCTCTGTGCTTGCTTGCCATTTTTTATTGGATCTTGGTACTTATCCTCTCTTATCACTCCCCAAGCCGTCTTAGCATCGTTGTATCTTATCAAAGCAAAAGAGGATAATTTCATTAGGTTTCATCTACTTTTGCGTACTACGAAGGAAATAAAAGCTGAGGGTAATCGGAGGGCCCCACAAATTTATTCCTAGTAAGAAAAGACAGTAAATCCATTCCCACTAAGAAAAGGCAGTTGGTATATTACTTGCAAAACAAGTCAATGTCCAAAAAGCGATGGGACCAATTGGATGATACAGTAAGGCGAGATACCATTATGGGTCTCACGACATTAAATGCAAAGGTATTCTTTTATTCACCAAGATGCATATTTTGGCATGTCGGTCAAGGAATTCACATCAAGTAAAAGCAAAGCAGCCTCTACATCTGTGGCCTTCGCACAGTAGACCAATCTTCAGTTATCAACCTCTGTTATAGCTAATTAGAAGGTCACCCTTATTCAACAAGTCATGTTGCACCATAAATTGATCGTATATAGGTGGTAGGAAAAGTCAATGCATTTTATAATAGGGTTGAAATCCCATAGGAAGAGGAGGCCTGGTATACATTAATATCAGACATTTTTACCTTTTTTCTTGCTTTATACACATGATTATACACTTTTACCCTTTTTCTTGCTTATACACGTGCTTATACTTTAATAATCACAATACTATCTTACGTATCGGAGGTCTCTCCCAGCAACACGTCAAGGGATCTCTAACCTTTTGTCGTCTTTGAGCTCATGTACAAGTCAATTCCCGATGACTCTAGGGCGCATCTCAACAACTTTTATAGCTGGTTCAGGTGGTACAAATTTTTATGTTTGTGTAGAGGTTTCACCCTCATGGTATTCTAGTATCATTTTAGGTTGTGGTATCGATTCATGGAGCACTAAGATACATCAGTTGCGGAATAGTATTAGACAACACACACAAAATGCTTGATAGAAGTTGAACATGATGAGATCAGAGTTTCGGGCCATATTATGACGTCGTGTAATAGTATTGATCAATTCGATGATGACGACTTGAACGAATCCTTATTGACTTGGCGACGTTTTGGCCTACTCGCATGAGACCTGTGATTTACGTGAAATGTGAAACAGTATCAAAATGAAAGTTGCCGAGTTGGAGAACTTAATAGAATCCTGTCGATATCAGCCAATAGTTGAACCATGATTCCAGTTTAAATTTAGTTTTTACTTGTAATTGACCGTTCGATATTCTAAAATGACCTACTATTCTTCTCCTTCCAAAGTCACCATGTCATGAAGCATAGCAGTAAAACCACCATCTTTCTCCATCTAATGGATTTTGGCCTGATGAAGAGTTCATTACTTAAATAAGTGGCAAAGGGGTGTTCACTGTACAAAAAAGCATCAAAACCTTTACTAAGCACACATAGAGTATATGTAGCCTACTCTCCACCAAGACGAAACTTGAATAACCAAGTTCTCCACGAAATATGAAGAAACGTCTAGAGACATTCAATTTCCTATTAGTCAAACAGAATATCTTTTGTTATAGTTATAAATTGCCCACTCCACATCGCTCTCTTTCCATATGCACTCATATAGCACAGCAGGGCAACACTCCTCACCACACATTTCCTTTTCCCAATATTTTCACTTTCCAAACCATCAATGATTCTTCCTGCTTTTGGTGGACTTGGTGAATCTGAAAAGAAAAAGACATCTGTAGTAGAGGTGATGTATCCCATAACTCTCTTCTGCCATCTTACTTATACACCACCAGTGAGGAAGAATCTTACCTCTTTAGATTAGCTGACCTATTTTAAAGATTTTTGAATGTGCTGGCATCCAAATGGTATTTTGAATGAAAACAGCCAAAATTTAAAGATCTGGAAAGACACCCACTCAATTCAGCCATCATATAATTTGAGGCTATAAGACTATTTTCTGGTTCACATAAATTTGGTTTATCCTTACGGCAACCTCGGCATGCGATACTGCCAAATGTGGTTGTGTTTCTACAACTGTGGTGTTGCTCCACAAATTTTCTCTATCTGAGAGGCTTTTGCAAACTTCCATTTATTTTCGCAAACCTTCCCTAGGCCTCCTTCCAACACAAAAACAAGAGTAGTAGGAAAACTTCCTCCACATTCCACATTTTGAATGCTTTGATTGGTTGCTGAGGTAACTAATGTGGTGATCACAGGAGAGTCGCTCAACTCATTGGTTTGGTAATATAGGTTTTATTTTGTCGGTCTTCTAGACTATGCATTGCATTGTCAAATTATAATATGTGAGGACTTCTTTCTTTTTTGGTAAACTTTTTAAGGTCAAAGCAGCTGTAAATTCTGGAAAGTTGCAGGTTTCAGTGGTTTCTGATATCATTATCCTTTTTTCAGCCATAAGCATTGATTATATTTTTATGTCGTCTTGCTTGTTAAGGAGAACCTTGCAATTTTGCTAATGTTAGACCTGAAGTTGCCTGCAGTGAAAGCAGAATTGTAACAATGACCATGGTGAAATTTATAGTCCAACTTTACAATGGCTGCATTTGTATCTATTGTGTCTGATCAGAATTATCCAAAAGCCAATGTTGTTGATTTCATTGGTGCAGAACATTCTCCTGTCTAGTGCTGATAGTGACGCAGTGCTGAAGATTGCAGACTTTGGTCTCGCTCGGTAATTGTAGAATGTGGAATTCCAATTGTTAATTTCCTGGAAACAGAAGGTCAACTTATCCATATTTTCTGATTCAATAATCTTATCCGGGGGCAGAATTTTAAATCCAGATGACTTTGCAGAGACAGTTTGTGGGTCCCCTTTGTACATGGCTCCAGAAATTTTACATTTTCAAAGATATGATGAAAAGGTAAGAGGTTTGTTTTGCCCTTTGTTCAGATAAGCGAAAACTGAGATTAGTCCTTCTTTACAGGTTGACATGTGGAGTGTTGGTGCAATTTTTTTTGAACTTCTTAATGGCAACCCACCTTTTCGGGGTAGTACTAACGTTCAGGTAGCGCCTTTGGCCTAGGCTAAAAAGTCATTCAAATTCACCAGCTCCATTTTCCTCCATTATCATTTTTGTGGATTTCAGCTCCTGCAGAATATCAAGTCGTCTACTTGTCTTCCATTTTCTCGGCTCATCCTTTCAGAGTTGAACCATGACTCTGTCGATTTGTGTTCAAGACTATTGTCTGTCAATCCAGGTTTAGCATGTTGTCTTTCTCCTTCCTAATGATGCTATACAATAGATACACTGTAGAATTCATTTAATTCAAAACTGATGATCCTCCTATCTTTACAGAAAACCGTTTGTCCTTTGATGAGTTTTATCAGCACAGCTTTCTGAGGATATAAAAACTCGAAGGTGAAAGCCAATCATAAAATCCTCAAAATTTCTGTTGAAGGGGACTTGGTGATATATAATAAGTTTATGTGGTCATGATGATGATATATTCAGAATCCATGGATTCAATGTCACCTAAATGAACTTGAGCTATGGTGTCTGCTCTGTTTTCCGTTGCTACACAAGCATTCTGTAATAGCCCAGATCTTCCTGTGGCATTCTATTTTGAATTTAAGAATTGTTTTTTCTTGGTAAGTGGATTTCAAGAATTGATGTTGTTCGAGTTGCCTTGCATTTTCTCATACATTCAGGAGTTGGACATGGTTCCTTATGTCATCTGCTCTCCACCACTTAATCGACTTGTTAGTCGGAGCCTTCCAGATAGTGATCTCTTTCTAACTCATCTTATTGCTTGGTCAACATTGGGTGCAACTGGATTCAATATCCATAGCCCTGCATCCATAGAAAGTAATGTTGCTTCCCTTTTGTTGTATATTAGTGTGTGCTTCTGAAGACTACAATTTTTTCAATACCGGCCTTCTTGATATGACCAAAAAGATTTTGGTGGTTCGAGGGGAAGTGCTTTATCTGGCACGGCGGATTTACGGATCGTGTCTGGAGACTTATGGGCAGAAATAGAATGATCATGGCCAAAATTTGAATGTCATTGTGGGCATGTTTTCTCACTTATCATCAGTACGTGGGTTCAAGGCTGCTTGTTTCTTTGTAGGTGACGTTATTTTGTAATTGTGCCGACAATATTCTCATCATCGGATTGTACAAACATATACTTGTATTAATCATATGTTTTTAGGATTGTATTCCTTTTACAATTTTTTTTTTAATTTTTAATTGTGAACTAGATTTATCTTTTATTTGATAAAATTGGCACTGAATATTGTTTCTGTGATTTTTCAACCCAAAACTCAACGAGAACAAACTCAAATTTAAAAGAGGGCAAAATATGGTCATTGGATCTTTAAAGAATAATGAAATTTTATCATTAAAAATTTGTTTGAGAATAAGTCCATTTTGATTTTCATGGTCTAAAATATCCCCAGTAATTATATTTAATTAAAACAAATTGAAAAACTAATTCAAAATTTCATATTTTTAGATCTAATATATATATACACTAGTAATAACCCGTACCTGAAGGCACTAATTAACTCAAAAAAATTCTACTACCAGTCATGCAATATAAATATTTTCAAGCAATAGTTTATTTTTTATTATTTTCTTTAGTTACACAATGCAAAATTAATTTGAAAATACTATTTTCTAAAAATTTTTGACAAAACTTCTCTAAAAATATGATCCCTAAAAATGTCAACATGGACACAGTTTATGTATTTGATCATTATACTTAAAAAAATATCTTTTTTTTTGTAGGAGTCGATATTGTCGTGTGTGTTAGCGGATGTATAGAGAGAGAGAGAGAGTTATATGAGAGATGAGAGTATGATATAGAGAGAGATTAGAGTTTTAATGGTTATTAGATGTATTTTATTATTATTATTATTATATATATATATATATCTATATATATATAGCCAGGCCATGCTCTCTAACTCCCATTACTTAATTATATGCATTTAGGATAAAGAGAAGGGAAGAATGTGTGTGTGTGTGAGAGAGAGAGAGTATGAGGCAAATAGAAAAATAGAGTTATATGAGAAATGAGAATGTGTGTTTTAAATGTGTGAAAGATAGGAGAGAAATGTAAAATGAATGAAAATTCAATTAAGATCATATAGATATATGTGTGTGTGTGAATATATATATATATATATATATATATATATAGACATACATTGGCAGAGTTGTACAGGGGCGAGAGTTGGCACTGGACTACCCTCAATTTTTTTAAAAAAATATGATATGTATATTTATATTTATATATTCTGAAAATTATACACATTTTTTTACTTGTGCTCACTCTATAATTTTTTTAATTATAATAAGATTTTCTTCAGATGACCTTCCTTTTATTATAAATTTTTGCAAGTGAAAGTTCTTTCAATTGATCTTTATTTGACTTTGTTTTTTCTATGAAAAATTATCTTTTATTTTTATTCGAGTAATAATTATAGTCTTTATTATGTGGTAATCAATTTTTATTTTTTTAATATGTTTACCTCTTAAATTTTAGTTTAATAATTTTGCTATACTAATGTTTAGAACATCGTTTATTGAATAAATTTAATGGATTGATAGTGAATAACTGATATTTTTTAATTATAAGATGGACAATTAACTTTATTTTTTTACAATGATAATAATTAGTCAATTTTTTATACATATACAACACACATTATTTTTTTGTCTTTTTATGTTAAATAGACTTCATGTATCAAATATAATATAATAAATATAAATATATTATATAGTGTAATTGATTAGAAGGAAAAAAATTATAGTGTATAATTAAAGTGCACATTCTAAATAAAATTCCTGACTCATGACATATGTTAATGAACCTATAATTTGTCAGAAATAATTCTTGTTATTACAGTTTTAATAGGTATTATATATATATAACCGTTCAAGAGATAATTACAAAAAAGATGGGAGGTGTGTGCTTAAAACGTGTGAGAGATAGGAGAGAGAGTATTAGATAGAACGAGAAAGAGTTGTATCAGTTAGTATGAGATAGAGAAAGAGAAAGTTAGATAAGAGATATGAGTCTTAGAAAAATTTCGCATGAGGACCATTGGATCAATAATTGTCAAGCGATCTGAATCGCGAAAAGTTCAAGACAAACTTTTCTATCTACTTTATTATATATATATATAAAATAAAACAAAGAGTAACATTGAATTTATTAAATTTTTGAAAAATAAAATAAAAATAGTATCGTTCAAAATAAAAAATAGTGTGTGTGTATATATATAAGAGAAATTGCAAGTCCCCGTATTAAAATTAAATAAATATAATATTATCTTAATAATTCTCCTAAAATAAATAAACTGATGATGGGAACTTTGATGCATTATTGAAAGGTCGATCATAAAATTTAAGTTTTTGCATGTCTTGACTTTCAGGTTAAATTTAGTTTTGGAGATATTTAAGCATAAGAAGGGTGGCTAAGTAATATTATAAAAGTTGTTTGGTCAAAATAAGGTTTTTATTGAATCCAGAAGGTCAAAAAATTTTTGGAGATGTTTTATGAGGTGTATTAGAAATTTGAAAGTATTTTGGAGTTAAAACCATATTTCAAGAGGATTTGGATAAAAAAGAATTTGACACTTCTTTAGCATTTTGGTTATAATTTTTTACCCCCGCGTCCAATTGAGCTAATTTTTGGACAAAAATCGACCAAATGTATTTCATGAAAATTTTTGGAGTCAGTCTCTAACAAGGTAAAAATCGACTTGGAAGTTAGGTGCAAATTGTTACCTACATCCANGGACTACCCTCAATTTTTTTTAAAAAAATATGATATGTATATTTATATTTATATATTCTGAAAATTATACACATTTTTTTACTTGTGCTCACTCTATAATTTTTTTAATTATAATAAGATTTTCTTCAGATGACCTTCATTTTATTATAAATTTTTGCAAGTGAAAGTTCTTTCAATTGATCTTTATTTGACTTTGTTTTTTCTATGAAAAATTATCTTTTATTTTTATTCGAGTAATAATTATAGTCTTTATTATGTGGTANTTATTTGACTTTGTTTTTTCTACGAAAAATTATCTTTTATTTTTATTCGAGTAATAATTATAGTCTTTATTATGTGGTAATCGATTTTTATTTTTTTAATATGTTTACCTCTTAAATTTTAGTTTAATAATTTTGCTATACTAATGTTTAGAACATCGTTTTATTGAATAAATTTAATGGATTGATGGTGAATAACTGATATTTTTTAATTATAAAATGGACAATTAACTTTATTTTTTTACAATGATAATAATTAGTCAATTTTTTATACATATACAACACACATTATTTTTTTGTCTTTTTATGTTAAATAGACTTCATGTATCAAATATAATATAATAAATATAAATATATTATATAGTGTAATTGATTAGAAGGAAAAAAATTATAGTGTATAATTAAAGTGCATACTCTAAATAAAATTCCTGACTCATGACATATGTTAATGAACCTATAATTTGTCAGAAATAATTCTTGTTATTACAGTTTTAATAGGTATTATATATATATATATATAACCGTTCAAGAGATAATTACAAAAAAGATGGGAGGTGTGTGCTTAAAACGTGTGAGAGATAGGAGAGAGAGTATTAGATAGAATGAGAAAGAGTTGTATCAGTTAGTATGAGATAGAGAAAGAGAAAGTTAGATAAGAGATATGAGTCTTAGAAAAATTTCGCATGAGGACCATTGGATCAATAATTGTCAAGCGATCTGAATCGCGAAAAGTTCAAGACAAACTTTTCTATCTACTTTATTATATATATATATATATATATATATAAAATAAAATAAAAGAGTAACATTGAATTTATTAAATTTTTGAAAAATAAAATAAAAATAGTAACGTTCAAAATAAAAAATAGTGTGTGTGTATATATAAGAGAAATTGCAAGTCCCCGTATTAAAATTAAATAAATATAATATTATCTTAATAATTCTCCTAAAATAAATAAACTGATGATGGGAACTTTGATGCATTATTGAAAGGTTGATCATAAAATTTAAGTTTTTGCATGTCTTGACTTTCAGGTTAAATTTAGTTTTGGAGATATTTAAGCATAAGAAGGGTGGCTAAGTAATATTATAAAAGTTGTTTGGTCAAAATAAGGTTTTTATTGAATCCAGAAGGTCAAAAAATATTTGGAGATGTTTTATGAGGTGTATTAGAAATTTGAAAGTATTTTGGAGTTAAAACCATATTTCAAGAGGATTTGGATAAAAAAGAATTTGACACTTCTTTAGCATTTTGGTTATAATTTTTTACCCTCGCGTTCAATTGAGCTAATTTTTGGACAAAAATCGACCAAATGTATTTCATGAAAATTTTTGGAGTCAGTCTCTAACAAGGTAAAAATCGACCTGAAAGTTAGGTGCAAATTTTTACCTACATCCAGAAGAGAATTCTCTATTTTTTGGTCTATAAATATCCTAGGCTGTGATCTGAAGTGTCTTTACCTATTTGTCAACCCCAAGAAACCTAGAAAAGTTTGAGTAGAAGAAAAGGAAGAATAACGGGCTGAATCTTGAAAGATTAACGTATGGTAATCGAAACAAAATACGTTAGAATTAAGATCTAAGTATCAATATAAGGGTTCTTTATCAGATTCATTTATTGATGATTAGGTTTATATAATTGTAGGATATTTATCCGTGCGTTCGGGATGTTCTCCTCCCACGGAAGGATTTTGGCTGACCTGGCATAAGCCTGAGCCTATGCCCGTAGCCTTTACCTCTCTTCAGCCCGTAGGAGCGCGTTTGTCCCACATCGGAAGAAAGTTGTTTCCCCCCTGCCATATAAGTCTGGACTTCATATGGAAGAGGAACCCACTAGCTACTT